GACAAGGACCTAAGTATGCGTGTTCAATAAAATATACAATCAAAATATCAGATTAGAAATAACAAATGGCAATAAGAAATGGACAAGTGAATGGAACAGACTCACTAAATTGGGGGTCCAATAATCCCACTACACGAAATGTTGTGCAGTAATCGTATTCGGCGGCGAAGAATATATCCAGAGTAAAAAGGATATTCTCCACTGATAGTTCAAGTGTTAGAAGTAAATTCCACGGTAGGAATTTATCACAGCTGAAAATTGCCACAAGGAGTTATTGTGACGTTCAACAGTTCACACACAAACACAATGATCCAATCTCACAACTTCGGCAAACAACAATCAGTTCAATCGGATGCAATTTCACTGACTCAGCAAAAAGCAGAGGAGTCGCGCCAAGAGATTGTGTATTTCCATTTTCGATTTTAATGTAATTATTGGTACAATAAAACAAAATGTCATGATACGTGTACAGTGTTTACAAATTGCAATTCACGTTTATGTGAAGAGAGTAGAAAATGGGGAAAATGTAACATTGATTTGCAAACCACCACAGTATCCCTTCGCTTATCTTAAAAGCCGGTGGCCTGAACATCCCCACACTCACCCCTAATCTCTTCACATCACAAGTCAGGCCCATGTACTGCTCCATCTAGCTGTCGTTGCATGCACCACAACTGCTCACTCGTACCCTGGATTCGAGCATTCTTATCGGACAGAAACTTCCGAGTGAAAGTAAGCTCGGTCCGTTCTTCTTGGGATCTGTTTTGGGACTACTGTTGTTTCTAATATACGTCAACGGCTTTTCGATGTTCTTGCAAGTCCACATCTACTTTTTGCGAATGACATAAAATCCTGGGGTTTAAGTGCTAGTGACCTCTAAGCTGATGCACACGCTGCAACGCAGTGATGTTGGACTGTTATCTTCCTCTGAATGACGAAAATTGCGTCCATATGTCATTCGGAGGAAACTCAGCTAACATTTTTGTCATGCATGGTGAGAATGGACCATAAAACATCACAAGGGTAGATGCCAAAAAGGGTTCGGGTATCTGGCTGTCTTCAAACATGTCCTTCTCACCGCACTATGAGAAATCGGCTCAAAAGTCATTTTCTGTTGTACGGATGATTCGACGAGTCTTCCCCATATAACTTGCATGCACCTAAGAAGCTCTATGGGACCTACGTCAGAGTGCTTCTTGAACACGCCAACCAAGTTGTCTACTCAGGACGCAAGAAGGACGTAACCTCTGTTTAGCGTGTCCAGCGAGCTGCTACAAACGGCCTTAACTCCTTTGATTATAAAACGCGTCTTGCGGTGCTTGACCTGTTTACTCCGGAGTATGATCGGCCACAGGAAGACCTACTCCTTACTTACAAACTGTTTGAACAAGGTTTGGCTAACAAGTTTTCCATCATTGACCTAACACACGACGGGGACATGATAAGAAGATTTTCATGTTCAGGGTGCATACATTCTCATTTCTAGTAGTCGTTATGTGGAACAAACTTCCTCAGAAGGTTGTTCAGGCCGCATCGATTTCCTAGTTTAAAGCACTTTTGGACGCCTTTTTAGTTGAGTCCTCGCACCATCCCACGCTGAGAACTTAACGAGCAGTGATGCGTTCTTTTTTGTTTGTCTTTTATTTGAGCAGAAGCCGCTGAGTGACAAGAACAAACCCAACCCGGGAAGTTTGGGCAGGAGCTTCGATCTTGTGTATAAATCTGGGAACCCGTGAATTCATGAAAAAGGCGGTCAGTCGGTCAGCACACTACCACTCAACCCGGAACTGCGAATAGCATTGAACACTCAAAAGCCTTCTTCTTCCTACTCGTGTCCACAATCATTCAGCCTGTTGATCCCAACGTAACTAAGCAGTGAACGTCACAGAGCACTGAAAGAGGTCAACTAGGTTCGAATGAATCGTCAGTAATTTGCAGTCAGGGAAAAGTAGACAAATTTTCATCCGCAACAACGAGATCAGGAAAATTGGAGCAACTAGAGCAAAAGACCAGAGCTATCGTTCAACCATGGATCCACTGTACAGACTGTTGCTGATCCATTGACAACACTATCAGATTAAGGGGGACAACTTCCATCCCCATAAAGACAGTCCGTCAGGGATACAGTTTAAGTCTCTGAAACATAATTCTACGTCCTCTAAGCACGAAGTCGCGAGGTTTCCGAACAAATGGTTTTGGACAGAGGTTAGCAAGTCTAACTAGTAAGAAGCAAAGTCGACTACTTGTTCGGTAAAATAAGTACACAGTTTGGGTACGTGTGATCCCAGAGGACATCCTGAGTTCTGCCTAAGAAACAAGGTTGATGAACATATCCCGGACACGATCATCGTTAAAGGACAAGTCACAGAGATTTGTGTCATTGTGTACCCTATTGGCCCCGTTGTGGCGCAGCCATCCCTTCTAACACTAAAGTGTGATGAGCTAAATACCGAGTCTACGGAGACAAGTATTGACGACTTTC